GTATCTCAATTTTTCACAGAGATTTAACTTTCAATCAGAAGCTATATATTAAAAGAATTTGTGCATATTGTGCATACTTAGATAAAGAATATAATAATAAAAACGAACTTTTAGTGACTAGATAAACAACGCACTGAAAGTCTGGCATCAAATAAAAAAGGACATTGATCGATTATTAAAAATTAATACCAATGATGTTTTTCTATCCCATGGATACTATGCTACACTAAATCAATGCATACTTTTCATTGTTATGATAAAAATGTGCAAATATTGCATATTAAATAATTTATAACATACAAGTGAATTGAAGCTATTAGGTATAGCGCATTGTGTAAGTTAAAAATTATAGCAAATATCATCGCAAAATGGATTTGAAATTTCACAGAAATATATGCAATATTAAAATATAAATATAATAGAGGATTTGCTTAATAATTTATTCTAATTTAATGCAAATCATTTTATTTGATCACAAGTAACAGGTGAAACATCTATAATAAATCATGATTAGCATAAGGAGTATTGTGTTTATAATAGTTTATGGCTATTAAAGAAGCAAATACATTATATATTAAAAGCAAATAGATTATGTATTATAAAAATTGAATAAAAAAGATTTAAATATAATGCGTAGTTTAAAACGGATCTAATATTTATGCGGGTGCGGGATTATTACAACCAACACAGTCAATCAATCTTGTAGCGCCATCATAATTACAGCTATCGCAGGTATATCCACATTGTAGATTAGCAGGACTAGGGCCTTCACAAGCAAAAATATATTTTGGCAGGTTTTGAATGCAATCAGCGTCAATAGTAGTTACAGTTACGCAAGTAACCGTATTAGAGGTCGATGGAGGCTGACAAGTAGCAGATATTGTACTGCATTTAGAATTGATAGCTGTTTGGGGATAGGCATGAATTGAACAAGTTAAGTCTACTCCTGCAGGACATTGATTAATTTGCCTGACGGCTAATGGAGATGTTAAAACGACCTCCGAAAAAAATCCGAGAATGAATAGTTGCAATAAAAAAGTGTGTTTCATCTAAAAAAAAACGTTTGGAATAATGAGATCAAT